CAGTAGGCATATGTTGAGTAACATTAAAAATAAAATGATATAGTAAGTGCAAAAAATTAATATGAAAATCAAAATTCGTTTCTTTAAATGAATTATATTTATATTTTCCCCTCGTCTCTTAGACAACCACTTTCACTTATACCTCAACTAGTTTATATTTCCCCTATGCCCTTTATAACTCCATTTTCACTTATACATCTATTTATTCACATCTGTTCAGGCGTATTAAATGCACACATGGTTAATTATATGAGTGCAAAAACCCTTATAACTCCACTTGATTGCACATAACATACAATCTGCAACTCTCCCATTTTTATCATTTTTATCACATGTTTATGATACAAAAGTATATAAATGCTAACAACTTTGACATATCAAAATCACAATGTACTATAAAAAGTGATACATAACAATAGACACAAGTAATAATATAATTTGCAGATAAATAAATCTGCACATATTGACAATTGTAATTTGCAAACCACTCATATGAAATGTCTAGAATAATATTCTAAGCATTCTTATTCTACCAGTAGACACAAATAATAATGTAATTTACGGATAAATAAATCTGCACATATTGACAATTGCAACTTGCAAAACCACTCATATGAAATGTCTAGAATAATATTTTAAGCATTTCTTATTCTACAACAAATTTTATCAGATTTAACATAAACACCAAAATATATAAAATATTGTGCAACACAAAATATCTGGTGAAAAAATAAATATTTTTATGTCAATTTGTCCAATATAGTCTAATCAACATATTAAAAATTGCAATGTGAAAAATTTATATATCTCTATAGATTTGAATTTGTATTAAATTTCGACAAATAAATATCAAAACTTTATGAAAAAACAACAAAATTGAAATTTTGAAATAGGTTAACAGTAGTCTACATAGAGCCGGACAATTTCCCCAACTAGACCGAGAGACGAAATCGGTTTTATGGCTCCAAAATCAAACCTTCTCTCTCTAAGATCTCTCGCTTTGTCTCTCTAGGAGTCACGGTTTTGAAAAAAAAATGGAAAAATGCATGGGATGATATGGAGGTAATGATTTAGGATATTTATGCTTAAAATGATTTTTTTATTAAATAAATGTTATAAATGGTAAGTGAGTTGCTATATTAATTAAATATATACTTTAAAGGAGCTATCTTGAAATGTATGACTCCAAAACTTATGAAAAAATAGTTATAAAATAGAAAATTATGTCTAGAATATATTGGTGAAAAAGATTTGCAAAACATACATCAGATAGCTCTAGAAAGCGCACTTGTATAAAAATATAGCAAATTCAACAAGAAACCTTTTATTTTCCATTTATGAAGCTCATAAAATAGGAAAAATAGCTCAAAATATAATCAAGTACGCTATACAATCTGGTGAAGATATTTCATAAATTGTGCATAAAACAAAATTAGTAAAAATTGATGAATAAATTGATTATCAAATTCACTCAAAAAACTTCAAGAAAATCAATAAACATAAAATAAACATGCAAGACTTACCAGATCTCAAAATTAGGACTCAACAGATCTACTAATATACTATAGTACCAGTCATTACATTCTCCCATCCTCAGAAAAATATCGTCCTCGACATTCAAAATTACTATCAAACAAATATGAATAAAACTGCCTCATAACATCTTTTTCCCAAGTAACGTCCCATTCTAATATGCGCTTACACTGAACTTTAATGCAAGGATATGCTTGCTTCTCAATTGTCTCAAATCAAGGGCCAACATACGCTCTGGTTCCTCTCTATAAGTTAAGCTAGATTGTATATAAACCTCATCCTCATAAAATCTAGGCTCAACATAAAAAATCCACTTTCTTAGAACAAATACATGAAACACATCATGTAAATCTAACTTACGATCAGCAGCTAATGATCGATAAGCAGAGTTATCAAACGCACCAATCACATTAAAAGGCCCAATGAATCTCAGACTTAGCTTTCCCGCTCTATAAAATCTACGTGCCTCTTTCATGCGACTGGCCTTCAAAAATACAAAATCTAAAGTAGATTAACAATGGCCTACCTAAAGCCAGACAATTTCTCCAATTGACCCGATGGATGAAACCTTCTCTATGGTCACCAAATCAGACTTTCTCTCTCTAAAAGTCACGACTTTGAAAAAAAAAAGAAATGAAAAAAAAACATGGTATGATATCTAGGTAATGGTTTAGGATATTTATTCTTAAAATAATTTTTTTATTAAATAAAAGATATAAAGGTAATTAAGTGACTTGTTATATTAATTAAATATATACTTTAAAGAAGTTTCTTATACCTTAAAATATATGACTCCAAAAATTATAGAAAAACAGTTAATAAATAGAAAAATATGTCTGGAACACATTCGTGAAAATGATTTATAAAATAGACATCAGATAGCTTCAGAAAGCTCACTTGTATAAAGATGTATCAAATCTTCAAAGAAGACTAATTCAACAAAAAGAACTTTTTATTTTCCTATTTATGAAACTCATAAAAATAGGCAAAATATGCTCAAAATATAATCAAATGCTCTACAATCTAATAACGATATTTTATAAATAGTGCATGAAATAAAAATACTAAAAATCGACAAATAAATTGAGCATCAAATTAACTCCAAAAATTTCAAGAAAATCAGAAAACATAAACTAAACATGTAAGACTTACCATATTTCAAAATTAGGTCTCAACTAAACATGTAAGACTTACCATATTTCAAAATTAGGTCTCAACAAGTGCATTGATATACTATAATAGAAATCGTTACATAAAATGTTTGGAGTTCTCCTCTGGTATGATTTCACCACTAATCATGGTTAATTAATTTGAAGGAAAGACAAAGAACTAAGACATCATAAAAAGAACAGGAATTCAACAAAAGGGATAAGGTTGGAATTGGAAGCCCTATCCTTAAAGAATTAAAAAAAATGTTGGAAGTGGAAGCCCTAACCTTATAGAATAAGAGCAACAATTGGAAGAAATATTCTAACCTCACTCTGATACCATGTAAAAAATAAGTATCGAGAAAAACTCTCAAGAATTTTTGTTGTCTACTTTATATAAGAGGGAAGGTATATATACAACTCCCAGAGGCATTATAGAATATGAATAAATTAGAAGAGGAAAAATAATTAGGGGCTGTGGTCGATAGAAAAACACACGGATTACATTTTGAGGGTCATCAAGAGATAGATATAATGGTACATAACCTCGATCAATGTGCCTTGACCTAACGATACAAAGCCTCGATTGGGCGTGCATTGATCTAACAGTACAAAACCCCGATCTGTGTGTCTTAATTTATGTGTTATGATTAAAGCATAAATTCAACAAAAAATTATGGCCAAACAAAAGTGTGCTAGCCATCAGAAAAGTGCAGTGGTGAAAAGCTACCCCATATAGACCCTCGGGGTAAAAGAGTTTAATGATTATATTTTCAAATATTTTGCATTATTATTAATTAGTTTGTAGAATTATCATGGGTGCTTTTTTCATCAATCCATTGGTTTCCATTTGAGGTTGTGACATAATGCTTCATATAATCTGGTTGAGTATTTGAAACACCCGGTACCAATAACATCTAAGCAAAGATAAAAGGAAATGAAAAAAAAAACTAACAATATGAAAGCATGAAAAAATGCAATTCAACAAGTATCTAGTGAACCTTAGGGTTTGTTTGGGACAACTGTAATTGTTTAAAGAAGCTGTTGTGAAGCTGTTGAAGAATCTGCTGTTCAAAAAGTTATAGTTGCTATTACAATTTTTTTATTGAAAAAATCAGACCGCAAATTTCTAGCAGCCACTGCAGGTAGCCAAATATGGTGGGAAAACACAGCTTTTATTTGCAGCTTTCTAAGAACGCAGCCAAAATGCAGTTTTGTTAAACAGAAAAAACTGTGGTGCTGCACCACACGCCACCGCATCGCCTCCCCAAACACACCCTTAATCTTTAAATATTTAAAACTAACATTTAGTAATCTCATCTAAAACCATATAATCATGTAAGAGTCATGACAAATTGAAAAAGAATAATAGTGAGACTACAACAAAAATAACAAAACATTTTTGAAGAAAAGAATACTGAGAATAGTTTATACAATATTATCATTTTATAAATTAAACTCCAAAATATCTAAAAAACAACTTAACATTTTAACCTATTATTGTTAAGTTAACTTTGAAGTCTAACTTAACTTAAATAAGACTAGAAAATTTGACTTTGTGTTGACACGATCAATTTTTTTAGCCAGGTTCGCATGTAGAATGCTAACTCTTTTAATTTTTCGGGTTAAGTTAGAGTTGATTAACAAATCCAAAATTGACTTGAACTTGACCCAAAATCATTAAACGGGTTACATGGGTCCCGGTCTGGTCTGTTGGGTCGAAGGCAGATCATGTTTAGGTCAAGTAATTTTAGATGAGGTAAATGTTGAGTTAAACCCGAATCCAACCAATGAAGTCTATTTGACACCCTTCATAAAAGAACTCTATCATCATATATAAATTGAGAAAAATCCATATAATGAACAAAAATTATACAACCAGAAAAATAGCATAAGCAGATAAAAATTACTGAAAACAAAAAGATAAATCAAAATCAGAATTTATACAGTTCCATCAAAATTGACAAAGCACCATTTCTTATTTAATATACATATATTCAACATAAGATTTGCTATCATCCTTTGAATCCCTAATATAAAACAAACACTAGAAACCAAAAAATGAACTGTAACAATAAAGGAGCAACAAAATTAACCTAAACCAAGGATACGCTATTCATTCAACCAAAATTTATACCAAGTCACACTAATAAGATAAAATAATACAATTACAAAAAAAAATACACATAATTAAGGGGGAAAAAAACCCCGAAAAACTTCTGTAGGTGAAGAGAAGCACTATAGATATATGAAGTTAATCCAATTCTCAGTAAAAAAATAAAATGACTGCTAGGAAGCTTAAGTAATAAGTGGTTCAACCTTGAATGAACATAGTTGTATAGCCACTCCCCCTCGACAATGGAATAACAAAATGCCGGCTACAAGAAAACCATCGAATAATGTCAAAGATGGTGCAAAAGGAATAAAATTAAACCAAATCTACCAACTGAAAAAGAAAAAGAGAAAAAAAATACCAAGATATAGATCTTTGATCTAAGGCACGGTACAATTGTGCTGTGATGGCTGTACCTATATGACCTCTTCCCAGATGATACTAGATATTAAAAAAAACATAACAGATTAGAAAGTCCAACTACTATCAGTAAAATTATTGATAACAGGCTCAAAAAATAAAAAACAAAATGTGACACCTAACAATGTCATGATCAAGAATAAATCAAATTTTCATCCACTTACATCTTCCCATGCAGAAATAAGGTCGTCCGGTGACTGGAATTTGGCCATCTCAATATCAATTATGGAATCAAGGGGCTTCCTTTGCAATGGTGTGAAACCAGTAGCAAATCTGGAGCCTCGGCTAAACCCTAAAGCTGCCCATTTCAAAAAATGCCCTGGGACTGAATCCATTGCCCTAGCCGCCAATGTAGATGGGCCATTAATGACACACATACTAAGAGATCTAGAAAAAGGAAAATTTTGATGAGGAAGGGAATGGCATCCCAAGGGATATTGTGGGACCAGAGTCTTCTTCGGGATATGTGAGATTAATCTTGGAAGGTTTTGCATTGTAGGAAAAAGATCAATATAACAAGCTGGTGAGAACTCCTCTGCCTCTTCCAGAAAAGATTTTCTTTTTTGTTCACTACAAGGATTTGAACAATGGTATTATTACATGCTGCTATAAAATAAGAGTATCTAGAAATTAAAAATTACAGTAATAAGTATATGATTGATGAAGAATGATTTTGCCAACTTTAATAAAAGACAGCAAAGTAAATAGAAGCAAAATTAAAGAAAAAAATTAATGAAGGATGTCAGTAGGGGTTATGCATGAACAAATTAAAGTTGCATTAACTTTAATCAGAATCTTCTCATCCAAAAGATCCCAATTTCATACTTGAGGTACATTTGGCATGGTTTTACTATTTCATACAATGTAAATCACAGGCGTTCAATTTTCTAGTCTACCCAAATGCATGGTTCTCCACCCAAACCAAAGAAAACAGATTTGAGTTCGTTTGTGTCACAAACACAACTCATACTGCTGCCACGGCCCCAAACAAAGAGATAGTCACTACCTTTTTACTTTAACCACATCAAACTTCTTCATTATAACTAAATCCCCACTAATCGTGAAAACCATAGAAAAATGATAAAATACAACATGAAAAACATAGGCTCATTGGGTGATTTAATCATTTGTGCTTAATCTTGATCCCTTAAAATTACACCCTACTAACAGGTAGTATAAGAGCCAATGGTTCACTTAAAATTAATAGGTTAATATATCCCGCGGCTCTCAAGGGTCGTGGTTATTTCTATCAATTCCATGATTGAGAATGGATCCTATGCAAAATCCACATGATTAAGTAAGCTCCTAGTGCATGGGATATGATAATATTAAAAAGCTTATCTCTGAGAGAGAAGTGAAGGTTGATGTAAAGATGATAATATTGAAAAGCTTATCGATGATAGGAGTGAAGGTTGATGTAGAGGAGCCTTATATGAGTGGCAGATTACTGAGTTACACATGAGAGTGAAAAATAGTCTTGCATTAAAACTAAAAAATAAAAGTTAAGTTCCTACTACCTAATATAACAGTAGTAGCCTTTACCCGCTACCTTAAGCTTTTGGGATGATCGGTTCCAATCTAGTAGTGTATTCAATTTAAACTTTAGCCTCAGGCCCTCCAGTGATCCACTCGCTTATAAAAAAGGAAAAAAAGAAAAAGACAAGAAGAACATAAAAGATTTAAAGAGATATAACCAAAATCTATCAGCAATTGACCTCAACTATCCAAGCACCAACAATTATTATCCTTCTATAATTCACAAGCAATGATTAAACATAGTGAATATGGCATGCCATGAAAATGAAAATGACAACTCTTAAAAGTTGTTAAACAGATCTGTGTTGAGCAAGATAACAAAACAATTATACTATTGAAAATAAAAATTCTTTCACAACCATGAAAAACTTATGAACTAAGTATAATAAATAATGCCATCAAAATCATAATTTTCTTCATGTCATACAACAACAACAAGCCTTTATCCCACTAAGTGGGATCGGCTACAAGAATCCTTTTTCTCCATTTTCTCCCTACAAGAATCCTTTTTCTCCATTGAGTCCTATTGAATGTCATATTTTCATTTAATTTTAATAAATTAAGATCATTTTTCATACAATATGCCCAAGTCTTTCAAGCTCTACCTCCGCCGTTCTTCACAGAAGTCGAATCTAAAATATCTAGTCTCCTAACCAGATCATCAGATGGTCGACGTTCAATGTGACCAAATCATCTAAGATGACTATCTAATTTTGTCCACCGTTGAAGCTATGCTAATCCAATCACATATATATTCATTTTGCATTTTTTCTCTAATTGTAAAGTCACTCATCCAACTAAGCATTCTCATCTCGGCAACACTTAACTTAGTTGTATGCTTCTCTTTTAAAGGCCAACATTCTGTGCTATAGAGCAATACAGGTCTCAAAACCATCGTATAAAATTTTCCTTTCAGTCCAAGCGGTACTTTTTTATCACACGATAGGTCAAAGCATTCCTCCACATCAACCAACCAACTTGAATTCTACTAATAACAACCCTATCTATATTACCATCACCTTGAGCAATAGACCCGAGATAATCTAAAACATTCAAAACTTGTAATGATTTGATCACCAAAAGTTACAGCTCTAGATAAATAAAAGACAAATAATAACACTAAACCATGAAATAAATGACATTATGACAAAAAAATGTCTACAATGAGATGAATTCAAATTATGTTCTTGTAAGAGATTGGTCCAAACTTGAACAAATTCATTCAAAATGAATCAAATAGGATTGTCTCCAACTTGTTCATTTGGTTCATGTACTTTTTTTAGCCAAAATTTCTCCCACAACCAATTATCGAAGACTCCATCAGCATCTAATGGTGGTGGGTAACACCATTAATAGTGGAGGTGGCTAGAAGGTGAACATTTTTTAGAGGAAAAATATGGAGAAAGCTAGCATTTAGCTGTCTTTGTCGCTATAGTGCTTCCGCCATGCAAGGACATTGAAGCCAGTTTAAGAAGAAAACAAATTGTGCATTATGTTATTCCTACAATGACATTCGTGGTATTTTTCAATGCACACGACCTTCCAATGTATCACCATCACCATCATCAACATCGACAATGTGAATCCTTACTTTTTTACTGTTGAGTGTTACATGAGGTGTTAAATCTATTGCACTCAAACCATTTGGCACAACTTTAATTCATTTTAAGTTAAAAGAAGCCAATCTTATAAAAAAATAACCAATTCAAATTGCAATGATAAAGTTTTGGTGCCAAAGGAGAATATCATCTATTTATTCAATTTCTTCACTTTCCAATTGCCATAAAAAAATCAATTTAACTTTATAAAATCCAAACTCCACTAGAAACAATGCATAATTATAACATGCCGAAACATATAAAAACTCATTTCAATTCACAAACTAAAAACCAGAGTCAAGCATTTCACAAAAAAGACCTAATAAAGACCAGTTTGTTTCAACATGAGTGTTTAGAAGCAACTGATTTTGAGAACTGAAAAATTTTTCAGTGATGTATTTATTTTTTTTAATCTTGCCGCTTCTTTCAGTGTGTATTTAGCAGAAAGCAACATATTCAGGTGATGCTTGAGAGAAACCAAGCATCTATGGATTCAAGGAAGCACACGATTCCTTCAAAGTGGAGATTAGTTAGGCTGCTTTTGCAGAAGGATTTAACCTAAAACATGCCAAATATCAAAACTGACAACATAAATTTCACAGAATACGAAATCCCGTGTCTTCCCCGTTTTACCTTAAATGTCGAATTAGTAAATCCGGGTAAATTCACAAGTCTCACGAATACTTCTTCTCCCTCACACGCCGCCAGTCCCGGACTTCCTCCCTTCTATGTCGCCTGGTCTGGAGAACTAGGAAGTGAGACGAGGCGTTCGAACTAATAATCCACAACTTCTATGTCGCCTGGTCTGGAGAACTAGGAAGTGAAAGACGAGGCGTTCGAACTAATAATCCACAATTTAGCTCTTTTATTTTTAAAAAAATTGACAATTTTTTAATTACGAAATTATTGATATTTGTTGCTATTTGTCAAGTAAAATATATTAATTTAAAGCTAAAATTATCTTAATAAAATATTATTGACTAAAATGAATTAATTTTAAAAGCAAATTTTATTTGTGATTTACTTTGATTTAATATTAATCATTATGTTAATTAAATGGAAAAATAAACAAATTTTTATGATTAAAAAATTTAAATTTAAATTATATTACCTTAAATAATTGAATGTTATTTTTTATTTAATTTATTAATTATTATTAATTATTTTGTAAATTATTAATTAATGATTGATTGATATACTTAATCAAATTAAAGTCTTATATGTCAAATAAATAAAATGAGATATCACAAATTTATAAATCCTAAAATCTTCAAATAAATAGCTCAATAATTTATCAATATATGATATGGTTAAGCATTTATTGTGTTAAACAATTTTCATATTTTAACTTCATGAAATTTATCAAATCTATTTTTTTTTTTCTCCTAAATTTTGTATGCTTAACTTCCTAGTCTAACTGCATAAATAATATATAAGTAGTGTAAGTAGTTGTACATCGGCTGGACTAAAGCTATAGTTAGATACTAAATAGAGGAACTTGAAGTTTTGGACTGAGAATGAGTATCCATAGTCAGTTCTTTTGACAAATGGTCTTTGTTTGATGACAAGTATTTTTGATGTGGAAAAGAGTTCTTTTGGGTGGGCATCATAGATTAACGAGTAACATTTGTGAGTTCATTGGATTACATTTAATAACTTGATTTTTAGGATTAAATCAAGCTAAAGTTTTAGACAAATTGTTTGAGATTCAATTCTCAATGGCTTAGGCCTTATGTAAATTTATATTTCTTGAGATTTGAGTTACAAACAAGTCAAGTCATTATGAATCAACAACTTCCTAAACCAGCTTCATGTAATAATGGTATAGAAAATAAAAGTTTCAATTTGGTCGGTTCGAAGAAAGCAACTGTCTTGAAGGTTTCGGTTCAAGGAGGTGAGTGTCCCACTCAAAGCAAAGAAATGTACTATACAGGAGAACGATGACGCGGACCATAGAAGGAGGAGGAGGAGGAGGAGGAGGAGGAGGTGTCTAGCGTTTCTCTTACTAGATATTTGATGTCATTTGCAGATGTTGATGCCAAGGACTTTATGTCTGAAGAAGAAGAGGAGCATCATTTGTAGGAGGAGGGAAATAAGTGACTCATATGCGGGAGACAATGGCAAACTGAGCGTGAGTCATGGCACGTCGAAACTGAAGGTGGAAGTGCTCGTGTGTTTGAAAGGTGAAGTCAACATAGAGCGGGGAGGGAAGAAGAGGAGAATCGAGACACGGTGTGTTTGTGTACAGATAAGGAGAGGCCTCGTGCGGGAAGAGACGTCTCTCATGAAGGAAGCAGCATGGTAGTGCCCTAGCATGCAGGGAGCACTGTCTCAAGCCAAACTAAAGAGAAGGAAAGGGTGAGCCGCTCGTGCATAAGGGAGAAGAGGAGACGTGTGCGTAGGCTAGGTAAGCCGAACTAAACATTTTCAAGATATGTTAGGGTAAGGGTGGACTCAGGTAAGATTAAATTTAGATTTTTACTTATATGGAATGACAATTTGGACTTTTGCCTCTCCTGAAATATCAACTTTGCCCCTTCTCAAATATTATTTGCTCTTCATTGTCTTGACTCCTCCCACATTGGGTCCAGAGGGGCAGTTCACTCCCCTTAGAAAAGTGGCTGGTTTTCCCGTGCTAGGGTTTAAGATTATTTTTATTTCTATCTGTATTAATTGAATTATATTTAAAGAGTTAATATGTTTTTTTAATCAAAATCATAAAACATGAAGGATATGTTGTTTGGAATCAGGAAATAATTAATAATAATGAATGAGGAGGTAAACGAGTGTTGTTATAATTTATTTATATCGAGCTTTATTATATAAAATGTTTGATTTTATTAAATATTTCAGAAATTTGGAAGAATTAAATTTATGTATATGTATGCAAGATTCTGAAGGAATTGTTAACTTTGCAATAAGAGGAATTGAGATAAATTTTAATTTTGCATCTAATTTATGTTGATTAAATACTTAATTATAGGATAATGTCAATTTTAAGATATATTTAAGGTTTTGGATTAGAAGATTAATGTGAGTAACTATATTTTGATATTTTAGTAGTATTCATTATTTTTAAATGTATTCCTAATTTTATTTATGCCCTATTCCAGTGTGATTTAGGTTAAAATAGATTATTCATATTGTTAGAGAGAATGCATGTTAAATTGTTAAACAATGATTTTCTTAAGAACATGTCATATTATAACGCAACCATTAGATTCTAGTAGATGTGCATATATCAGATTATTTCATGACTTTTAGATTCTAGTAGATGTACATTTATTTGGTGGATAAATATAAGGTGTCTCATAAGAGAATAATATATGCTATGAAGAATCAAATAAAAATATTATATACATTAATGATTGTATGTGCATGCTAAGAAAAAGAGTTCAGCTCATTATGGTACTGAATAGAACAAAATTAGGAAAAAATTATAGAGCCACGACACACTAAGAAAATTACTATGAAAAGGATAAAATACATATTGCATCACTCACATCTTCTCTTTACATCACTGAAACTTACAAGAATAATGCTCCAAATTCTTTATTGATCCCACAAGAGAAATCACACTCTTTAAAATCCACCTCTCGAGCTTCATTGTTCCACATCAAAGCCGCCTTCAAGAGTTCACATCACACATACAACTCTAAGTTGTTGTTCTGAGTCAAGGGATTTAACTCCATCATAGAGAAACCGTTTCGAGAAATAACCACACCAATATTCGAAGTAATTATTTTAAGTACGCAATAGTGCAGTCTCCATATTCAACAATCTCTCACTTTTAGGCTGATAAGACCTAACACTTGTCCTCTATATATATACCATTTTCATAGTCACATGCCATAGTGTGGCTCATCTCCAGTCTCAACCCTCCTGGACTTCATCTGAAGCTAAACATAACTCCAATTATTTGATATTCATCACCTTAGTCAACATATTTGCTTGGTCTTGAGTTGTGATGTATCTTTTCCAAGAGCAACAACTCATCTTCTAGAAGGTATGAATGAAATGATGCCTCAACTGAATATGCTTTGCATCGCATGAAAAGTTACATTTTTTGTAAGATGAATAAAACATATATTGTCACTATGAAGCTTTTCAAAACATGCTTCTTGCCCAATTTTGCCATAAAGCCATGTAGCCAAATCATTGCAATACTAGCCTCAGTGATAGTAATGTATTCGACTTCCATAGTTGAAAGTGCAACAATCTTCTACATCATGGAAACTCAACTCATTGTTTTGTTTATCAAAGTGATGATATATATTGTTGCACTTCTTCTACCAACCAAATCTTGTTTTAGATATGAATTTACAAATCTTTGTAAATTGATCCCTACACTTCTAAAGTAGAATGTTTTGTTGACTTTCCCTTAAATACCTAAGAATCTGCTTCACCGCCTCTTAATGACACTTGCCTGAACTGCCCATATACCCACTGACCACTACCATTACATACGGAATATTTGATCTCATGTAAATCATAGCATATATCTAACTTTCAACTACTTAAGCATGCATAGTTCTTCTCATTTATGCTTGCTCAACTTCAAATTTAGGCGATAGTTTCTTAGGTTAGTATAAATAGGGGGGGGGGGGGGGGGGGCTTGTTTTTCCTCACTCATGTTGAACCTTTAAAGGATATTATCAACATCTATGTGTGAGACAACTTCATTGTACCTTCACTTCTATCCCTAATGATTCTCAGCCTGAGGATCTTCTTGGTTAGACTTGAATTTCTTATCTTAATTTACTTGATAATTCTCATTCAAGTTCCCGAGTCCTCCATATTAGCTCCTGTAATCAGCAAGCTATCCACATACAAAAGAAGTAAGATACAATAATTTCCAAAATTATTGATGAAATAATAGTAGTCTGTCTAGCACTTCATATACCCAATGTCTCACATGAACCTGTCAAACTTCATATATCATTATCCCAAGACATTTTTTAAGCCATAGGGGCTTTTCTTCAACCTGTCGACCAAATTTTCTTCTTCTAAAACCTCATAACCTTATGGTTGCATCATGTACAGTTCTTCTTTGAGATCTTCATATAAAAAGGCTATCTTTATATCTATCTTCTTTAGATGTAGTTCTTGCTCTACTATTAAAATTAACACAACTTTAATAGTTATCATCTTCACTATAAGAGAAAAGATCTCAGTGTATCCTTCTCCTTCGTTATGTTAAAGCCTCTTTCAACAATAACTCTTGCCTTGTAGCATCATTCATTTGTAGAGCCACTTATTATATAGTGCTCTTTTGTCAATTAGTAATATCATCAAATATCAAGTTTGATTTGACATCAGTGACTGCATCTAATCATTCATAGCAAACTCCCACTCTTTCAGTTCTTCAAGTAGAGTGGCATCTTCATAGTACTCTAGTTCAACCCTATCAATTAGCAATAAATAATGTAAAAAAGAAGAATATCTCTTTGTCAATCTCAAGGTTCTGTCGGACCTCATGACTTTAGTAGAAGGTAATTGAGGAATTTTATGTGCTTCATCTGATTAATTACTTTTGTTATGTCCATCCTCCCGATCACCATTGTCTTCTATATCAACATATTAAGACTTTTTAGAAATGACGGCTTAAAACTTTTGAGTTATGCTCCAGTTTTTAGACATTTATATTTTCATTGAACGTGACATCATGATCATGATGAACTTCTTATTTTTGGCAATACTCCTAGAATTTGAACCCAAATTCATCTGAGTCATACTCAATGAGAGTGTGCTTGACAAATTTCAAGTCAAGTTTATTCCTATACCCTACATCAACAAGTGCAAATGCAAAACAACCAAATACCTTCAACTAAAATAGATTTGCCTCTTTATCACTTCAGGATATTTCAAGTAAGTATACCTTAAAAAATATTGGCAGATCATAATTTATTAGATAAATTGTAGTGTTAACTGCTTCTATCTAGAATTACTTTAGTAAGCCTGCATGCAACCTCATACTCTTGACATGCTTAGTGATGATTATATTCATACCCTTAGCCATATTATTCTACCATGGTCTCTTGGAACAATAAACTCATGCCATATCCCTTCTACAACACAAAAGTTCTTGAACATCTGATCATGATACCTGCCCCCATTATATGATCTAAGACACTTTAGCATCAAATCTGTGCTAATTTCTACCATGGACTTCCACTTCTTAGACACTTCAAATACATCATTGTTCTATGAATATTGTGTATATATAAAGCATAATAATGTTTCTTTCTCCAAAAGTGATACCACTTTTTGGGATGGAAAATCTCCAAAAGTGATACCATGGGCTTTGATTAATTTCCAAACAAAACCATGTCATGAAAAATAGAATCTCACCGATTCAAGAATTATAGAATAAAATATTGAAAAAAATACACAACAAAATAATTATAAAAAAAATACACCAAGATTTAACATGGAAAAATTTTAGAAATGGAAAAAATCATAGAGCCATACCACACCAAAAATCCACTATGGAAAGGAGAAAGTACAAATTACACCACTTAAACATTCTCTACACCATTGGAATCTAAATCTTTTTTTGACCCCTTAAAAGAAACTGCATGTTTTGAAAACCACCTCTCAAACTTCACCGCTCCACAGTAAAGCCTTTGAGAGTTCATCGTGTGCATACACCTCTAAGTCATCGTTCTAAATCAAAGGATTTAACTCCTATAATAGAGATAACATCTCATAGTGTAACCATGTTGACACCCAACATAATTATTTCTCGTCACTGTAGAATCAAAGGAATTGAAGAAAATGCAGCATAGCTATGCCCGGTTTCAACATAGTTACACCGCTCAGTATAGTGATGGCGTTATTGAAATAAGTACGCCATAGTGTGGTTTCCACACTCAACACATTTATATGTTTTTCTATCACTTCAGAAAATTATGAAATTTATATTATTAATTAATATGTTGATGAGAGGGCATTGGCTAAGGGAGAGTAGGCCTTCCATAAACTCAAATAAATGAAATTGATTAATAACTAATGTGTTGATACCAAACAATTGTGTAGTTCAGATTACTAACCAAAATATTGACAGCAAAATATCAGTCAAGAATGAGCAGATACATTTTCTTCAAATAATAGTAGAAATAATTTAAACTCCATTGTGTTGATGGAGTATACATCTACTATGTGTGTGTTAGGTTATGTTTAGATGGTGCTCGGAGACAGATGTAGAAGTAAAGAATAAGAAGTATTTTAAGTATTAAAAGATTGCCTCTTGAAAAGTAAAGTAAAAGTTAATGCATATAGAATCATAAATTATTTATTTGAGCAAGTATTATGAATATATTATTTAGATTATTATATGATTTTACTATAATGTGATAGAAACAATCAATATACATATTGTCGTCTTTTCCTTATGTTGCTATAGTTTAAAAGTCTGGTTATACTATTAGGTTATCTTGAATAATTCATTATGTTGTTTTAACAAGTTTTAGGATTAAACTTTTGACTAGAAGATGACTATTAGAAGAGAGAATGTGTAAGGAATGCAAGGTAAGCAGGCAAAAATGTAAACTTATTATCTATTAATTAAATAACTTTATTTAGTGAAACTTTAATTTTTATTTGGATTCTAAACTGCCGATAACGTAAAATGAGAGTAAAAAATTTTAATTCACTATTCGATCATTTGTTTCTGCCCTCGTAATTCCAAGTCTCTAGACCAGGTTATGACAATTCAAATTTGAATAATGACCTAATTAACTTAGCCTTATGCTTTCATTCTCATATTTTATATATTTTTTATTCTAATTTGTTCATGATTTCACACCACTGAGAAAAGAGCTAAAATAAGAAGAGCTTTTTGAACTAAAAATAGGGAAGAAATGCTGAAAAAAGAGCTTCTTTACTATGTGAGGGTCCTCCCCCTCATACTATAGTTACCACTCTTATTCATGGTCGGTAGGTTTATGCATTACCAACAAATTACATTGCATTTTAATCCTTAGAGATCCCCCATCAACATCTCTTTTCTTCTTCAAGCAGAAATGTTTTAATTAATAATATCCAGCTCCCATGTATGAATAATCATTCCACATCAAATATCTTTCATTAAGATTCAAGTACTTGACGGTGCTTCGTTGATCAACTCGGCCATGGGTCAAGTTGATCTCACGGGGAGTTCGATCAACTCAACCATGTGGTCAGTTAAGCTTCATTGGCAAGCTTCGAGCTGTCTCAATCCGATCGAGTAATTGTGCGTTGATGACAAAAGACATGCTATTGGCCATAATTTTCCAATTGAGTTGGTCGGTCAAACAAATCTCGGTGGCTCAATGAACTGTCTCCCTCATGTTTCGTACTCATTCTCAGCTAGGGCTGTCAAAACGGCTCGTTGTTCTCGAACAACTCGTGTTCGGCTCGTTAAGAAGCTCGTGTTCGGCTCGTTAATTTCTTTCGATAAGTTAACGAGCCTCGTTTTGGCTCGAAATACTACTCATCAAGTTTAT